CAAAAAGGTATGAACATGTATAAATTATTTTCATTTACATCATATTTATTCAAAACACTTCAAATCAATCATTCTCATAAATATATTTTTAATAATACAAGTATATTATTGTCACTGTAGTTTGACACAGATTGTTAAAATTTATTAATTTTCAGGTAGTGAAGAAATCATGACCATCAGGATTAATGGAGTTGGATCGTCATGTTTATAATTCATGTATGTTTATTTTACATAAAAAACACAGTAATCTTTCAAGAAAACCATTGTAGTAGTGTTCACAGCATGAGGTATTATATTTTTTACGAAAGCCAAAAAAAAAATATGCAGGGTTCTGATAACCCTACCATATCTGAAAATTGATTGCCAACACTAAATTTTGTTTTTCCAAACATAAAAAATTGTGCAAAAATCACACAAGATTTCAAGCATGAATTCACTATTATTTATTATTGGTCAAATTAGGAATACTCAACTGTGAACATCATTAAAAGCTATCACAAACAAAATCTGATGAAAGAAAAATCAAAATGAAACTTACACAACCAGTTTGTGGAGTGCAACCACACAATTTTTGTTGTCTTAATTTAAATACACATACCTTCAGTATTTTGTTTGGCTGCCTCAACAAATTCCAACTTCCCAGCAACTCTGACACTATCCAACCAACTCCATTCAGTTTCTGTGGCGATGGAAATAGCCAGAGTTTCAGTTCCGTCTTCGTTACGTCTTTTAGTAATCTCTTTTGACGCAATAGTTTTAATAATTGGTCCCTTTTTTGAAGACGTTCTACTCGATGACCTGAAAAAATATATAAATTCAATCATTTTTGTTGTTGTTGCTAATTCTTTTGAGCAACGCAAACAATTGCACGAGCTAGTGCATTTAGCCACAAAAATCATAATATATATTTGGGTCTACATGGCAACCAACTTCCTATCATAACGGCAACCAACAGCCTATCATAATGGAATTATGACAATTTAACGTTCTATACCAGTTTCATGCCAGGAGGCCTGGTCGAAAGGCCATAGTTGTATCCATTTAAAAGTGAATCAGTGATTGGGTGTCACTCAGTAGCTTTGGCCTCTCCATTGGGTGTTTCGCATACGCACTACTAACCCAAGTTATCAGGGTGGATCCTTTTTGTGGTTTGAATCAACAAATACTATTGCTACTGGTGACAGGATATTTATTAATTAATCAGAAATTGGTCAATTGATATTCCAACAGGGAATCAATATTAATATAGAACATAAACATAATCAATTAATCAGAGCCACCATTCACCACATGTTAAATAAATAATAAAATCTGTGCTTTCAAAATTTTGCCTTAATTACCTTTCGGTTGGTTCAGTAAATGAGACTGTTTTCTTGGACGAATTACTGTCTGTAGTTCTGTTTGACAGGTTACTTGTTTCACGTTCAAATGCATAATCTGCTGGAAGCTCTCGTTTAAATTGCATAATCCGGGGAAGGCCTGAAACAAAAAATTAACATATCATGAATGGGATTTGTTTTCACATTGTTTTTTTGGATTTATATATCTCTTTTCAATAAAAAAAAAGTTCACAAATACAAGAGCAAATATCTATCGTGTGTTTTTTCAAGTAGAATACCTCCATTTCACACTTACTTGTGTTATTTCCACTACTGAGTTCTGTTGTACTGCTTTCAATGGCAGTATCTAAAGACATTTTCAGGGTACTACTGTCAAACGTATCTGAATCTACCACCGTATCCACAGGATCCTCCCCACCTCCTATCGGTGGCAATGGACTAGTTTCTTGCAGTTGTTTATTCGCACCGGTTCCAGGACGCGAACTGGAATTTTCGGATTCATTTTGCAAAATCGACGACTTTGCTGATAGTATTTCCGCCGCCGACAACCTGCCGGTTTTAACAGGTGGTAAGGCAGGTGTCGACGACCCCGATACATCTTGTTTCAGTCGCAGAGTGCTGCTCCTACCGCTACTTCTTCGAGTAGCTGGAGACCGTTCTCTGTGTTCTCTTTCCGTCGCCTCCTCGAAGGCTTTTACGTTTTCGATTGTCAGACTCGAAGAAGAGCGTTCGATGTGAAATGACGACGTGTCATCGGGCCCAGGGATTTCACCAATTTCATCTTTCGCCTCGCCTAAGACATCGACAGACACGGAATCTATGTGCTCATCGTCGCCGATGTCCTCAGGGATTAGCCCCTGCTCGACCCTGTTACTTTGTTCGTCAGTGGCGGCATTGTTGTTGTCCTTTTCAGTGTCAATGATTTCGCTCATTCTTGATGGAATCTTCCCCGGAGATTTAAACACGCCCGCGGCAGCTATATGTGTGTTCAATGTTTCGGCGACTGATATTAATTCCCCGGCAGTTAAATCACATCACTGTAAAATATAAATGTGACAAAGATATGTTTATATTAGGCAATGAACAAACAATAGAAACTGTGCTTGATATAAGACGTATTTTTTGGACAATCACAGCAACTTGAACAGGAAAAGGCCTCCGCCATTTTGGAACAACAACTCATGACGGCAGTCCGAATGTTATCTGCCGTTACAGCGCTACGTTTGCCAAAGTTTACCCCACTGGTTCACGATCTGATATTGTACCTGCTATCGTCAACAGTAGACAGATTTTGGCAATAACAAGACAATATACAACAAACTGATTCGTAATAAAAGTTTATTCGCTACGTACTTTTCGACATTCCACCACCTGTCAGAGTGCTTTATCGTCAATTTGTCCTGTGAAGTGAAATACATTGTATTTATATTTGTACTTACCTGCTGATATTTTCTTAGTTTTCACGAAAATCATATCATTTCGGTTTCCGTCTTCCATACAATGAATAGACCATTACTATGCATAACTAGTGTTTGGGGTCGTGGTGATGGTGACGGACACGTGACATAATCGGCCATTGTTATTTGGACGATTCCATTCTCGCCTTCACACAGGACTAGGCAGATGGAAAATAATGGGACAGAATAACCAAACACAATTTCGAGATACCAATGGTAAATGATTTAAAAATGGATTTTGTTCCAAAATTTGTTCGGAAACCATATTTTTGCATTTGAGTTTTTGTGAACAGCAGTACCAAATAACACCATATCGTAATACTCGATGAATGTAGTGATCTGCAGTGTTTTTACCAAACGCTTCAGCGTGGTATTAAGAGTTTGTTTTCAGGGGTGGGTGATACCAAGGTGGGAAATGGATGCACATATGGGGTTAATTCCTAGAATTGCAATATAGAGGGTTCAAGCTGAAATACAATATATAGTGTTTTCATGTTTCGTCTGATATTTCTGTGGTATTCTGCTGCTGTAAGTAATGCACGATTTGTTCCGAAATTCAGTATATTGTGTGTATTCCAGGGTTATTCGTTTTTTGCTGAAA